GATATGATTTGTAATTTTGGCAATGCTATGGCATTTATGATTTTATTTTTTTAATTATCTCCCCTAAAGAGAAAGGTTTTAAATAACAGATCTACTGTTTTATGCAAGTTTAGACGTAATTCAGGATCCTGAGTCTGAAAAYACACATTGAGGTAAAAAAAGTATCCTAGATAGAGATTAGCATCCTAATGCAGTTTCTGACTGGAGTTTTCTTACCATATATAAGTACACTTATATTCTAATCTACTGCTTTGCCCCTAGAATATTTTCAATGATGCCGCTATTTTTACTACCAAAGTTCCTTTCTGTAGCTGTATAAATTTTCAAATATAAAAGATCATGCAGAAAAATGTAGGTTTCTGGTAGTCAAGCCTCTTTTAGACCAAGTATAGTGATGAGACTAGTTCTGAATAAAAAGTCATAAACTATCAATTAAACAAAGTAACAAAGCCACTTTGAGAACACTTGCATGTTTTGGAACACAATAGAGTTGAACATATTTTTTTCCACTGAGGTACAATAGAATTTCACTGCAGAGAACTGTAGTAGACCAAATTCTTGGGCATTCTGCTAAATCTTCAAAAAGACATTTTCATCACCAATTTGTGTTCAGTGCTGCAGGAGCCTATCACAGGAAGACAGAACTGCAAAGGGGCTTCCTGTCCCATCCTCTCCTACTGGGGGTTACCTCACAACCCTCCTTTCACAATCAYAGAGGACTGTTTTCAAAGCAGTACAACCAGAAAGCTTGTCTTTGTTTTTAACACTGGCAACTTCAATGAATAAAAAYAATTTCAGCAGAAATTACATAGAAGTCGTTATAACAACTCAATATTTCAATTTATTTATTGATGCCACATAAGCTAGCAATCACACTTTTTCACAGTTGCACCATGCTGGATGCTTCACAGTCTTTCTGGAAACCACCCTTATATGTCCTCTGTCTTTGTTGGCTGTTTTTAAGTGATAAACCATAACCTTAGCTTRTGGCAGAGGTTAAAGCTTTTGAGAGCATGACCTTTTGTTTCCTGATACAGAAGCTCATCACTGTCTTCAGGTTGTTTGTCTCATTCAATCCACTAAACTGACCTACTACTCTGAACAGAAAGTCAAAAAGTCACTGCTTTGCTTTGTCTTGAAACTCACATATTTCCACATTTTGAAAACAAGAATTCAAAACCTGCCCGTGAACTTCAAAGTCACATCTCCACGAAGGTACTTTTCAGAAAACAGAAGAAAACTGAACAAGAAAAGTAGGCACACAAATATAAAAACATATGCTAGCAAAACCAGCTAATAGCATGACCTTTCTTTCATGCAAGCAAACAAAAGGCAAACTTATAAAACCAAGGAAAAATGATTTTTTCCACATGAAACCACAAAATATTTCAAATTGCCTGACACTTAAATATTAAAATCAAGTTTCATAAGCTAATAGTTATAATGCCATGTTGTCTTCAACTCTATTTCAATGTTTTGCTATCCATAAGGCAATTTCAGGATGTTTAAGGTACATGAAAGCATTTTGCCAAAGAAAATGATAAATATTTTTTTCATATAATATTGGTTTTATGCAGGGATTCCTTAAGCAGCTATAACAGGGCTTAGAAAAAGGATATCTGATATAACAAAAGAGCACTATACCAACTAAGCATTATCATGAGATATATGTAAGGAAGAAAATACTTACAGATTTTTTATATCTACTGCTCCTCGGAATGCCTTCCTTGGTATTGCTTGAATCTGATTTTCACTGAGATCCCTAAGAAAACAAACAAAAAAAATTCAATGTAAAAATGCCATATATATACTTAGTTCTATGTAAAACAAAAAGGAATTTTAAGAAAATAATTTCAGCCAACATAGTTCAGTCARTATTTCCAATGAAGCTTATTTTATTACATTAACTGATTTGTAATTGAAGAAAAAGAAGGAACAATAATAGTCAAATTAGTTTATCTGTGTCACACTAAGTAGTTCCTTTGGAAAACAGCAACATATATGACAAAAAAAAATAAAAAAAGCAGAAGTGAGTGTTTTCACTCTTCAACCATTCCAAATCCATGTTTGATAGTATGTCCAGCTCCAAGTAAGGAAGATTGAAATCCAGCAAAAAGAACGAATAATGAGTTATTGAGAAACAATTATAAAGCTGWGTAATATCTGATATCAACATGTTTCTAACTTTTGTTTCAGAGTGTCAAGCACCATATATTGTAAAAGAAAGCACCAGTATTTTAAAAGAAGGAATTAAAATACATTCTTCAGCAGATATATAGCGGTCCTCCCAAAAAATCCCTATATGATCAGCTGTACCATGCTACCTGAAACTATTATCTTGTACAAAAGAGAAATACTATTAATGCTTATAAAATTATTAATCAGTAGCTTTTTTTTTTTCTATCTGTATTAATGAAGAGCCTTTTTTTTGGAAATGCAGACACATTTGACACATTTTTGTCCCTCATGGATCAAGATTGGAAATAAAGTCTAGAGAACTGAAGACAGTAGCAGAGGAGACAAAAAAAAAAAAAAAAAAAAAAAAAAAAAAAAAAAAAAAAAAAAAAAAAAAAAAAAAAAAAAAAAGAAAGAAAACAAAAGCAATCTAGGATCCAGAACTTTTCATTTATGCTATGCACTATTAACAATAATGCAGTGTAATAGAAGATGACCCGTACATTAAAGTCTTTATTGCTGTATCTATACTACATGCAGTCTGGAGCTTTCACTTGAGACAATAGTTTGYTACCTAATTTGGACCAAATTCAGTTTTCACACATGGTACACGAATGTTTGAAATCCTGCAAAGGGGCCTGTCTACCTTGGTGTACCAAAATGATGAAATCTGATCTTCCTTTGGAGGCCTTCCAAGATGCACCAATCTATACACAGGATAGGGAGCATGATTGCATGGAGAAGCTTTCTTGAGCATTTGAATAAAGTGTGCAAACAAATCAGATGGATACAGGCRTCTCTACAGAGGGATTTTAAGTCCATTTGCACAGCAGTTTTCTTGTGGTTAACTAGATTTCATTTTGCTAAAACCAATCCAGGACCTTCACTCCAAGAGCACGCCAAATGCAATCCAACTCCTAACAGAAGTAAAGTTTCTCTGCCTTGAGCTTCAGAGACATCTTCAGAGGACCTTTTTTGGAGAGTTTTTAAAGAAACACTGCAAAACGGTGCACAGAAAAAGGAGATCTAGCTCACAATAAGTGAACAAGCAAGAATCATTTAGTTGATTAGACATAAAAAATCATGCTTTGGATATACTCCTTCTCTAAAATGTAATCTACCATGAGCTCATATTTCCAGTTCTGCGCAATCACTCCTGAAGATCTCTTTCAGATTTATGAACTTGCAAAAAGTAATTTGAAGACTTTATAAAACCCCATGCTGCGCAACTTTAACAAAATTTATATCAATATAATAATTTTGAAAATAATTCCACATACATTGACAGCAATTTTGTTTTATCCAATTCATTGTTAATTTATGGAAAATTGCTTTCTATTTACTAAATCTTTCATAGTTCATGCACCTAATTGCACTGCAATATCTTGCAAAGTATACTGAAAACTAGACCCAATTTTAATATTATTAATCGTGTGTGAAAAAAGAGAATTTGTGAGCTGTGATTTAATTTTCAAGCCACCTAAGTAATCTTGAAATGGAATATGACTGCACTGCTCTGACAATAAATTCAGTGGCAATGAATGAAAAAGTAGCCTWCAGCATTTGTTACGGTAACATGATTTAACAGCCTACTTCCTTGAAAAAAAATTCCCTTATAAGCGTAAAATGCAAATATCTATATTTACACTTCTGTTTAATTGACTAATACATTTTACCTACACAAAAATTGTGTGTGAAATGGCTAAGCTAGCAGCAGTGATTTGTATCATGATCAATGATTATTTTATAACACAGATATACGTTTGTATCTATGTAAGCTGCTGCCATACTCATAAACATATACTACAGGAGATAATGGGTAATGGTGCATTAAGCTTTTCATGGCATTTGATAGAATATCATCATTCACCATTTTGTATAATTAAAAAAAGTGAAAGATGAGCAATAGTGATGCCAAATGTAAATTCTTTCTAAAAATCTAATAGAAAATGGTCAAAATCCTTATTTCCATGGGAAATCTTGGCACAAACACAAGTATTTTTAATTGACTGCTATTCTGCCAGGTTCCTCAGCATACAATACCCTGMGCTTTAACGTGTGCACAGGTATGTCTGTGTGCATGCACGTGCAGAGGACAGCAACCAAGTAACTGCATGCCAGATTTACTGCTGGGTCCGCACAGTCAGCACCATTTCTGTGCAACACAAGATCTAGTGGACTGAAGTATAGCATTCCCTGGTAATTTTAGCTCATTTCAAATGTAAACTACCTGACTGCAAATGTTCCCAACCTTGCTGAGCAAGGCATTGTTTAAAGTGTCCTTTTAAACATGGAGAGCTAAGTAAGGTTGGCAAATGTTGTTTTCCAAAAGTAATTTTTTTGCAATGTTTCAGCCAGTTTGTGAAACTTTCTTGGAACTGATTCTGTAACAAAAGCGTAAATTCATTTTTACACTGCACAATTCTGCTTCTCATAATAAATATGACTTTTTTATAGCAGGAAAAAATTTAGTAATTATTTATCGATTGCTTGAAGTTTTCATCTGCTCAGTGTAAAAAAGTTTCCTTATTTAAAAAAAAAAAAACAAAAAAACCTTAAGGGGCTTAAACTAACATTCAACTTTTTTCTTCCTGCATAAATTACACCTACATTTCACAACTCAAAAGCTGCGTGTGGTCTTTTCTATTGACGTTTGAACCATTCCACTGCAATTCTTAGACTGATCACAAAAAAAGGTCACAAATAGCACAAGGTGCAATGTGCCTTTCAGGGGAAATGGGGCAAAAATCTATTTTGTAGATAAAACCAGACAATTTTGCAGGCCATTACATTGCATTGATTTGACTTTGCAACTTATATTCTGTTGTGAAGAAAGGTGCAAAACTCCTTTTCAGTCTGATGGTCATTGTATTGCCGCACTGATAACTGTGGACTTCATCTTCCTTTTCAAAAATAGGCAGCATTTGAATAGAGACTCTAATTTAGGATGGCAATTGGTACCCCTAAAATGAAAGAAGGTCTAAGCATTTCAGTAATGTTTAAGCCAGGATACAACAAAGTATCCTGCTTTTATAAGAAAACATCTGTATTTTTTTTTTTTTAAGCAGAAACCTGCTTCGCATTAGAAAGCAGCAATCTGACCAAGGTATTTTCATAGGAACAARTTATTGGCCATTATTATTACAGCCCAAGACCTTACATCAAAAACCAGAATACCTCTGGAACAGTGGAATTTGTTAAAAAATGTTTTGTACACAGCTAGAGTGAAAAAGCCAAGGCTATCTGACAATTTCTTTTTTTTTWAAACAGAGCCCAATGATCTAGTGAGATGTTTTGACAAATTCATCTTTATGCAGATTGATTCTAGCTGTCATTGTGGCTCCTTTGTACTAAATTGTTCTTGACTCTATTGTGTCATTCCTAGAGAGATATATTCTGAATTATTAAGTCAGAGGTGTAGTACCTYAGACATTAACCTTTCAAGAAAATTCCTTAGTGGGAATTTGTGGGCTCCATTCATGTCATTCAGTTGTGGGCAGARCACCTCCATTCCTTGTCCTCCATGGCTCCTCCTTATCTCAACATCACCAAACCTGTGCTCAGTAGCTTCAGGCTCTGCATCTGAGAGGCTCTCAAGGAGAACTCTCAGCTTTGTTTCCTCAAGTTAAAAGGTAATAGAGGGGTTAAATGGCAGATTTGCMACAAAAGCCACCTGGGTGAGTTAGACTGGCAGCAGCTGACAGAGACTCTCTTTAGAGGAGGCACAAATGAGTGACTCTGCTGCTGTCAATGGGCAAACCAGCCTGGGAACAGTGGATTGTTYCTGATCTGTTTAAGGAGCAAACACGTCAAGCATTCTTCTGAGTTGTAATAYTCCAGCTGCAACCYCATCTTCTCATGCTGTAAAAACAGCAAACCAAACACATGCACCAAACAAAACTATAAATGAAGATACACAGTGGAGAATGCACATAGATTTCTGAACTTTTGCCCAACTATAGCAATTTAAAAAAGAATAAAAACTTGTATARCATTTTTCCCCTCTCAGGCCAGTCATGACCTAAATCAAAGACTAAATATGCTCCATCTAAATAATTATTTTCTATAAATAACATAGTCTATCCAAGTATACCAACTATAAATAAAACCAGAAATAATGGATCCTCTAAGATCTGTGATCAAGTAAGTTCTRCAATTACTGTATTTATGTAAAACATAATTTATTTTTAAACAAACCGGATAAAGGCAATTTACATGCAATGAATTCTGACATTGCATAGAATTCTGACAAACTCATAGACATTCCGATAAGCATATACGTCTCAGCTTTTAAACCAATTTCCAAAGATTAAAGATTTAATTTGGATATTCGGACAAAGCAACTGAACTTGTCTAATTTTGAATGATGTCTAAAAGAATGTAGATTTCTGCATTTTACAAACCAATGAACTAGGAAAAAATAACAAAAACAAACACATAAAAAAAATCCTGAACACCTCTGCCACATTCTACTCCCCCYGCCTCCCCCAAACAGTTTCATTTTGTCTATGCAGGAGTTTTTTGTCCAAGAATACATTGGTAACGATAACATATTAAGCTTGTGGAAATTGCAGAAAGACCTTGTCA